TGCCCTCGCCCCGCGGCCCCGCCGGCCCGGGCGCCGCTCCTCTCGCAGCTCGTCTCCCTGTCCCGCAGGCGCCGTGACAGAAGTCAAAACGGACATCTACGTGACCAGCTTCGGGCCGGTGTCGGACGTGGAGATGGTGAGGGCCCTGCTCGCTGCCCCTGCTCTCCTTTCCTGGGATTCATTACGGTGGTATCTGAGTTGACCGTCATTAAAGCAGATTACGAGGCTTAATCTTCTTGACAATCTGTGGGGCCCAGCAGAGCAGTTCGGCTGGAGCCGCACAGAGCTGTTTCGCCAGCACAGCCCAGGCCCCAAGCCGGGCACAGAGGGCCGTCGGGTGAGGGCAGGGATGGGAGGTTAAAGATGCCTCTTTAACCTCTTTAAGAGGATTGCAAGCATCTGTGGCCTGACACAGGTTTGCAGCAAGGCTGCATGGTAGGCAACAACCTAATGAGCAGATCTAGAGGGATGGTGTCATTTCTGAGACAGCTGCCCACTGTGATGCTGGGTGCCCCCAAATTCAGATAGCTGCAGACTTGGGTGCCCTCCGTCAGCAGCAGCCCCAAGGAGATGTTCAGCCATTGGTGTGAGGGTGGCATTGCTGTTCTCGTTCTGGAAATTAACTTTGATCACTTTGTTTTACCCTTGTACATTTCCTCCAATACCTGCTCACCTGAGCCTGCACTCCAGTTTGCAGGCAAGGAACTGTGAGACCCAAAATACAGCTAAAAAGTTTTACCACTTCTCTTCATCCGTCAGTCTAAGAGAAGGCATAACATTGCGTCCTTATACATTTGCTTCCAGCAAGGTTTAGCTCCAGTTCCTAAGCAACTTCTGTAGAGTACTCCTTTCTGAAGGCTTATGAGAATATTACTAAGAATTCTTAAGAAAAATAGCATAGATTAATATTAACTTGATACCGTAATCCTACTGTGATGTGACTCACTCACACCAGTCCTTCCTTTGTGAATATCCCAAGTGAACTGCAGAAGACGCACTGAGCATGTTTTGTTCCTGGCAATTATTGATAGTTAATTCAATAATTATTCATACTTAAAAAGGATACTAAATTAGACATTTTTATTTCCTTAGATCTCAGTCACTTTGAATTAAATTATTATCTCTGAGAGGACAATGATTTTTTTTTTCCCCCTACGCATATCAAAGTATCTGTTCACTGATTCATTTGTAACTATTCCTTAAATAATAAGAAAATAGGACATTTTTTAATAAACTATTTTTTTAGTAACTACTTAATGGTACTAGGATTAAGTGTTTAAGCAGTAAATGAAATGCCATTGATGTGTGTTAGGTTCTTTCATGGAGTTACTATATACACAGCAACTTGGGACTGCTGACCCCCACACATAAGTCACCCACCTATTTATTTTCCATAGGAATACACAATGGATGTCTTCTTTCGGCAGACATGGACTGATGAGAGGTTGAAGTTTAGTGGGCCAACTGAAATTTTGAGATTGAATAATTTAATGGTCAGTAAAATTTGGACACCAGACACTTTCTTTAGAAATGGAAAAAAATCAATTGCTCATAATATGACAACTCCTAACAAACTTTTCAGAATTATGCAGAATGGAACTATTCTATACACAATGAGGTGAGAGCCTATTCTTCTGCTTTTGGTTGACCTTTATTTTTGATTTTTTCAGCAGTGTTCCTGCATACCATTTTTTTTCATTGTCATCTGCTATAATGTATTCTAGACTAACCATTAATGCTGATTGTCCTATGCGGTTGGTGAACTTCCCTATGGATGGACATGCTTGTCCACTGAAGTTTGGAAGCTGTAAGTTTTTCTGTATCTTTCACTGGTTTTAGTAATATATTTGGTCTACATGTGAGTATCAGAAGTGAGATCCTAGGACACTACTTAACGACATAGCTGAAAATTTTACTTATATTTTTATACTAGAATCCTACTTTCACCTCTCAGACTCTCTGTTCATAACCACATGGATTTATTCACTGAAGGGTGACTGTTGAAGCATATTTTATCGTTACTCTTACATATCTAGTAGTCAAAGTGGGTCGTCAACAAGTCATAAAAGCTGTGGTACATATACTGTATTACTTCTAATTTTGCAAATATTTACTTGATCTGTGGTAATCAATGTGTGTGTTTTATAGCAAATTAAGAAAAAAAAGCTGGTGCTTATCAGGTACCACCTCAACCATTCTCTAATTTTGGTTGTGTGGGGGGTTGTGGGGTTTTTTTGGTTTGGTTTGTTGTTTGTTTGGGGTTTGGTGGTTGGTTTTTTTCTTTTTCTTTTTTTTTTTTTGGTGTGTGTGTGTTTTGGTGTTCTGTTTGTTTGTTTGGGTTTTTTGCATTTTGTGATTAAAATGGCTAGGAACTTGCTGGAAGAGGTTGCATGTTTCTATGGGTATTTGAGCCACAAAAGGAATCATGCTACTTTTTTTTTTCAATTGCTTATGAATTACATAATTAATAATAGTAATTTTTCCCTCTGTAACTCAGATGCTTATCCAAAAAGTGAAATAATTTATACATGGAAAAAAGGACCCCTGCATTCAGTAGAAGTACCACAGGAGTCTTCCAGTCTCCTCCAGTATGACCTCATAGGACAAACTGTGTCTAGTGAAACAATTAAATCTAACACAGGTAAGATGTAGCTATGTGGGAACTACCATCATAACAAAACACATGTTGAAAATAATTTTTTTTTATATATATAGAACTGAATTAGTTTAATCATCTTTTGCCATTAAAAAAACCCAAATATCATTGGAAAGCATTAATTCATTGTCTCTTAAAAGATAGCTTTTCAATACATTCCCCTTTAAGCGTACATTTTTTCATGCAATTCTCAGAACATAGTATGTTGAGTTTAAGCCAATGTTTACTCATATGTTGCCAAAATAATGCTGACACACTTGTCTCTTAACAGGTGAATATGTAATCATGACAGTTTATTTCCACTTGCAAAGGAAGATGGGCTACTTCATGATACAGATATATACTCCATGCATTATGACAGTCATTCTTTCTCAGGTGTCTTTCTGGATTAACAAGGAGTCTGTTCCAGCCAGAACAGTTTTTGGTATGCTGCATTAAGGTCTTTGAACAGCTCAGCATCACATATACCATCCATTCATTACTTTCATTCCTTGTTTGTTTTAGGAGAATATTCACTTCAGCTGCTCTATTTCCATCTTCAAAGAAAAATAGGCTACTATCTCATTCAGACATACATTCCATGCATCATGACTGTAGTCCTGTCTCAAGTTGTGTTTTGGATCAACAAAGAATCTGTTCCAGCAAGAACCGTGGCTGGTATTTGTGTTTTGTTCTTTTATCATTCACTTCATTCACTGTGTTGAATCCATTGTAGCTACTGTAATCCAGCAGGGATTGGAAAAGACAGCTAGCGGGTTTCAGTGAACAAAAGTAAATTCTAAAATTGGACCAAATAATATTCAATCTGCCAACAAGGCTCAAAATTCTTTACTTGGAATGTTTGGTTAGCCAGACCTGTCTGTGATGTTTTCCTTCCTCTCAGTATTTTTTTCATATGCAGGAAGGGATAATTTCAGAGTAAATGTCAACCTTGCCATTTTTTAAGAGGAACTTTTCTCTTGATTTATTCTCTTGTGAAACCAATCTGAGTTAAAGCTTTAAAAAAATTCATATGGGATGAAATTAATCTCATCTGACATAAAGTACCTCATCTACCACTCATTCTGAAGTGCTCTTCTCCCCTTGCCTACAAAGGTACCTAAACAACTAGCAAGGACTTTAGATGGATAATGTTATGTGAGAATCCTGTCCCTAGCACAGGATGGAGTTGCAATGTGAAAGGTGTGTCTATATTGCATGACAAGGCCTTTTTTTTTTCTAGTGGTTTAAATTAATGCTCCAAAGCTGTGAGTTTTGTTTCCTTAATTTTTAGTGTGTAATCTGCTGTTGACACAGCACCCCACCCCCCACTTCAATACTGATAGGCTCTGAAACTGCAATAATTCTTAAGGGGTAACATTTCAATGAGTGAATTCTTGTTTCTAGAAAAACAATCATAAAATACAAAGCAAAAAAAAAAAAAAAAGCTTTATCAAAACTTAATGAATCCACTACCTATACGTACATGTTTTGCAACGTTATTTTCTCTTAACCCAGTGTTTCTATACAAAAAATTCCCTTTGTGAGTCGTCTTCAGTAACAAAAAGGCAGCTATATGTTCCCTAAGCATAAATGTATTTATGCTTATAATTGAGTTCACTCATAGCTCAAAATGAGTCTATAATTGTAGCTAACAGGCGTGATTTGATACTCTGCTCTGGTGAGACCCCACCTGGAGTGCTGCGACCAGCTGTGGAGCCCTCAATATCAGAAGGATATTGACCACTTGGAGCGAGTCCAGAGGAGGCCACGAAGATGCTCAGAGGGCTGGAGCACCTCTGCTAAGATGAAAGGCTGCAAGAATTGGGCTTGTTCAGCCTGGAGACGAGGAGGCTCCGAGGAGGCCTCATTGCAGCTTTCCAGTATCTGAAGGGGGCCTACAAGGGTACTGGAAGAGGACTTTTTACAAGAGCCTGTAGTGATAGGACAAGGGGTAATGGGTATAAATTGAAATCAAGGAGGTTTAGATTAGATATCAGGAAGAAATTCTTCCCGGAGAGGGTGGTGAGGCACTGGGACAGGTTGCCCAGAGATGTTGTGGATGCCCCATCCCTGGCTGTCTTCAAGGCCGGGCTGGATGTGGCTTTGAGCAACCTGGTCTAGTGCAAGGTGCCCCTGTCCATGGCAGGGGGGTTGGAACTAGATCATCTTTAAGGTCCCTTCGAACCCTAACCATTCTATGATTCTATGATTCTATGATTTCAGTCAGTTGGAATTTCCTACCTGCATAGAATGACATTCATAAAAGCATTACAAACTTTTAGGGATGATAAGTGAACACGACTTCCTCAGGTGTCTCTGAAGGAAGATCAACACTTTTGTTCTGGAAATCCCCCCTGGGAGTTGGGATGCAGTTTGGCATCATTAAGCACTTACAAGTATTATTTTCTGGCAATTAGGATTTCTTTAAATGCTTAAAAATATTAAAATATCAGAATATCAAGAGATTTTAAAGAAATATTCAGTTTCACTTCTAAGTTCCCAAACTTTAAGTTTGAGAGAAGTTAGTAGTAGAAGAGGAACAATGGTATGCCCAAACCAGTTTCTCAGAACAAATTCATTTAGCAACTCTATCTACCTCCAAAATGAATACCAGACATCCTTTGCAGGTAATATTACAATAAATAATCTGAATGTTTTGCAAAGGTAAATTAATGGTCATAAGCACCTACTCTTCACAGAACTTCAAGTGAAAAATGGGAGACAGAAGTACTTGAAGAGGCACTCTGGTATTCTTTATAATTGTGTCACTGGAAAGAACACCAGATTGCTGGTATGAAATTTCTTATTTTATGTGGAGCTATGTACGTAGCTGTGCATATACATATATACCTATATATGTGTGAAGTTTTGTGAAGCATGGCATTATCAGGAATTACTTAGAATAAGAAAAATGGTTATTTGAGGCCTAATTTTAGGTATGCTCTGAATTCATATAGCAATGGCTTTTATTTCACATTTTTATGTACCTTTATCTAATCTTTGTTGTTCCTGGCAAAAAGTTCATCTGTTATTTTGCAGAAAGATAGCAGCTACTACCTTCCTAGCAGGTCATCCTGGGAATTTTAAATTAATATCTAGTCATTAAACTTTATTTATAATAAAGTCTCAGATAGGGAAAGGTGTTTGGGGTTTTTTTGTTGTTTCATTTTTCATAAGATAACGTATTTCAGTATTTGCATTATGTAACAGATTCTTCAAACCTTACCAAGAAGTGTTCAAAGTGGAAAGACAAGAGTAAAAAATCGTCAGTTACACAGTTTACCAACTGTAATTTGGCATTCAGTTTGATAAAGTAGTTTTCCACAGTGCAGAGCATTTCATCAATATTCACTCCACATTGAGAGAAGTCTTATCTATATCTGTAATAGAATAGGAGTCCTATTCCTAAGTTTAAATTCAATTTATTCAGACACAGAATATATCATTTTTATTACTAACTAGCACATGGACAGATTCTAATCTAATCACACATCATATTGAAAAGTTCATTCTGGACCTTTGAAATTGAAATATATCTCAGCATACTTGTATTCATATTATAAAATTAGTCTGGCAGACTTGGGGAGAGGTAGAGATCCTACGTATTTTTATACCATCTCCTATTTGCATTTCATTAAAACATGTTAAGTAATGACATTGGGACGTAGTTAACCTCAGACAGCTGGCAAGCTACATCATGTGAAAGAGTTGCAAAAAATACCTTAAAATAATCAAGTCACCCTGTCTTGATGCTGCAGTGTACAATGACACTGCATCCTTTCCACTGAGCATCATTCATAGCATATTGATTCATCATCACAACATGACATTATAACATCTTTACTTTCCCACCTACCCTTTCCCAACTGCAAGAAAGAGCAGAAGAGGGTATTCTCCACTTTACTGTCTTTAAATACCTGCAGTTTTCATATTTTCGCAGGTATAATTATAAATAAACATGAGTCACAGAAGCTTATATGTTAATGAATTTGTTCTTGCACTTTTTCTTGTATCAGGCAGCAGTGGGAAGTAAGTCTATTTCCTACATTATTAATGCTGTACACTCCAAAAGAGAAAGAATAAATTCATGAATTCATGTGAGGAACACTGTGGGGCCCATGAGCCACATGACCAGGTTTCTTGTGTGAAAATAGATAAGCAGCTCTAGGGAAGCAGCTTTTCTGTCCTTCCATGTTTGTAACTATGGGCTCTTTCAAATCAAGATACTGTTAGTGAATCTTAAAGAATGTATCCAGTGATTAAACAAAACAGCATAGGGGATCAGACTCATAACTTGAAATATTTGGATCATAGCCTACCACTGATTTTCGATTGATTTGGTGAGGGTACTGTACGCCATTATCTGTCTCGTGCAACAACAGGAGAAGAGAGGATTCCTGTTTGGATATGACAGTATGTTAATCTAGATTTCTGCCAAACATTCCACTTACAACCCCTCAGGTAAAGTGTTTTTCATAGTTTGAGCCTGAATTTTGTTATACCCATGTTTATCACAATTCTAAGAAGCTGCACCATGTAGTATGTAGTTATCTTAACATTCAGTCTGCTCAATGTATTAAGGAAGTTTATTCAAAGTTTTTAGTCGGAACCAGTATACATGAATTACTTAAGAATACAAAATACTTATCAGTCTTGTTGGTTAGCTGCTACGTAGGATAACAGCTAAAACCAAAGAGGAGTTGGGGTGTTTTTGTAATATATATGAATTTAAGAGTAGCAGGGTTGAAGCAAAATTCTAATGCCCCCATTTTCTTTCTCTTATTTTCAAGGAATCACTACAGTTCTGACAATGACCACTTTAAGCATCAGTGCACGCCATTCTTTGCCCAAGGTGTCCTATGCTACCGCCATGGATTGGTTCATAGCTGTGTGCTTTGCCTTTGTCTTCTCTGCACTTATTGAGTTTGCAGCTGTCAACTACTTTACCAATCTTCAGACTCAGAGAGCAATGAGGAAGGCAGCCAGGGCAGCAGCATTGGCAGCAGCACTATCAGCAGCAACTGTACCGGCAGAGGACGAGATTGTCTCGGTAATTGCTTGCTTTTCTGATAATAAGCATCATATAGGAAGAGGCAGATGAAGTAGTGAATGCAAAACAATATGAGAGTGATCTTAACCTGAAATAGATCATGTAATCACATCAGGTCTATTTATCAATGACACTGTTCTTATTTCAGAAAATGAAAGGCTTCATTTATTCATACTGTTTATTTAAATTTGAGATATGCTTTACTGGAGAGATGTTTATTTGGTAAGATATTTAAGGAAAGCCATTAGACTGTTAACCATAATACTTCTCTCTTGAGCAATGCTGTGGGCAGTGTGGTCAGGCAGCTGTGGTTCTCTCAGGAAGTCTGCAGAATTCGTGGACACTGTGCAGTGGAATGAACATGTGCATTGGCCAGATGATTATGGGATCACTGTAGTACACTGGTACATACCATAAGTGGGTCATCTGGAAGAAGAGGAATTAGCCTTTACATAAACTTGGCATCTGTTACTTTCATAAAAATCTGTGTTGGTGGAAGCTTGAGGAAAAAAACATAAATGTAAAGATTAAGGATAGATTTTAGTACATGCGAAAGACGGAGGCTTTCTAGTATCGAAAAAAAGTATGCCAGAATTGCTTGTAAATATTATTCCGTACATCCTGGGCTAAATAATGAATACTGTTGCACAACATATGTTAATATCCTTATCACTATAGACCTCCTGTTTTTAAAATCACCACCACATTCCCCATTTTGAGAGGAATAACAGAATTTGAATGGCCTTCTGCAAAATCTTTGAGTCTCTAGTTGAATAATGAAGTCAACCTAAGAGCTATTGAATATCAGGGCAACACCTGATAACCGATAAATATTGATAAGTGCTACATAATGAAGAGAAACAACAGCTCTGATTTTTCCTACATACACCCTTATTCAGGTCTGAGTTAATCATAGGGAGTTTTCCAAGAAGGCTAAAAAATCCTCCAAAATACCAGTTTGTTTTCATTGAAGTGCCTACTGAGCGATATGAAAAGAGTTTGGCCTACTTTGCCTGCGCCACTGCTGGTGAGTTCACAGCAGATGCTACAAAGCCAATGCCACCACCCTTCCCCCCTCAGTCTCTAGGAGACAACTCTTTAAAAAAATAATCCTCTGCATACGCCCAGATTTACTAGAACATACTCCAGACAACTGTGGCTCCTTCAATACTTGTGGGTGAGATTTATATGGTCTCTGTATCAGTGCAGACCAAACTAAGCACAAGCTACAAAATTGCTGTTGAACAAACTAATAAAAGAAAAAGAAATTAAAAGACTTCAAGTTTCTTATCAAGAGCTTCAGTCACAAACAAGCACGGAGCCAAACTGAAGACGCACCTTTCCATTATGCAAATATTTTCTTGTTAGCTTTTCCAAGTGAAAAAAAGCAAAAAAAGAAAAAAAAAAGCATCTAGAAATAAAATAAACATCTAGGAAGCATACTGCAACCATTTCTTGGAAAATTATTTACAACTAGCTAACAACAGACAGATTTAGAAGAGGAGTATACTCCATAACATCAAGGTCCCAAGATAAACTCACTCTCTAAAACAGCCTACAGCGTTCACAATATTCTATAGTCCTGATCTTGCTCAGAGCTCTTATTATCCAAGACAGTACTTTTCAAGCCCTGGAAGTCCACCACCTTTTTCTTACAGGGCTGGTTCTCTCTGAGAACCCACCTTGCAGTAATAGAAAAAGCAAAATCAATGAGATCATAAAAATGAAGGGTACTTACAGCAGAAGGAAAGATGTTGTAGTCAAAATGGCTTCTAGAAGAATTAACTATTGGATTTAAAAGGTCCTATTACAGAAAGGCATGCTGGGAAAAAGGAGTAATTGCACGATAACAGATTTTAAGCAGCTTATTTTTTTATTATTTTTTTGTGTGGTGAAGGTAAGGCTGAAAGAACTTTGCTATGATGTCACATAGATGGATGCACTGCAGTCAGTGATATAATTTCAGCTGAAAAAGACCTGAACTAGCTAATTTGAATGCTAATTATGTAGCTAGCACAGGCTAACTGTGTGAGTGTATGACCATTTCCTGAGGATTGCCATCACTGAGCTTTGTATTTCTATAGCTACATTACTGGTCTTAAGGCTGTTATGTTTAAATAAGGTATGCAGCATAATACTCAATTTCTTTCTTAATATAGATTTAGGAGCTGTTTCTGAGGTCCTGATTTCCCCTTTGTTGCCTCATACCCCCAACATGTTCCATTTGTTTCCTTTAAATTCCTTAATCATTTTTCTTTCCACAGTTTTCTTTTTGTCGGTTGCTACAATGCCCAATTCTTACTCTCGAGCCCTTGCATAATTTCTCTTATATCTGCTCTTCTTTCTGCCTTTTCTCCCCATTTATTCCACCTCTCTTCTTAAAATATTACTGTCTAATCCACCACCAAAAAAAACATATTAGAATCCATGTCTTATACACTAAAATGTTTTTTAACTGTCTACTTCATTTTATTAAAAAAAAAAAAAAATTAAATCTTTCCCTTCTCCTACCCTGGGTTTAGGTCCCTCATCTTTTCTAATCCGTGATTTCATTTATTTATTTATTTATTATCTTTTAGATAGGACAGTAAAATTTGACAGCCACTTGTAATTCTATATTTGTGATTTTTAAGTGCATGGAAGTTGTCAGAATTCTAGCTATATGCAAGGGCAGGTATAGGAAGAAGGGTAGTGAACAGTATGTCAAAAATGCTCACTGTGTTTATAGAAGTCAGATGTTATTTTTACATTAAGAAAATTTCTGAAGGTTTTAAAGTCTACTTAGTTTTGGGGAGGTCATTTGTTAAAACAAAAGTGAAAAAGTGACATGTACTTACTTGAAAATTTTCATAGCTGTACAACAGCCAATGGAACTCTGCTACCGGTGGCAACATTAAGAGTAATAACATGGACTATATGTTTTTAATACTCTGTTATCCTAAATTGCCTGAAGAGGGACTAAAGAACATTGTGGTGGGAATAAAGTTAGTCTGTCTGAACTAGTACTTTCTGTATGACAGGAGACCCATTCTCCTGGTTTGTGTAAGAGAAGCCCAGGGAGACAGTTTGGTATAAATGAAAATTCAAAGGGGTTATAACACAGATGGTCAGAAGCTTTTCCTGCTTGACTGAGGGCCTAAACTCATCAACATAAATATATTTACAGAATATATTCCATTTTTTTTAATTCCAAATTAACTATGTTTACTGAAAAAAAAATCTTTCAAGATACTATCAAAACATGTCCTTTGTGCTTCAGACTTGATTTTATTTAAAATCTTGTTTTATTCAAATGAACAAAACTTTTTCTTACAGGTTTTTATATTGTAGCCAAAATAGTGTTCACTCAGAAAAGAAAGATGGCAGAAGACGAAATTCTGCCTTAATATCATAATGAAAGTAGGAGAAACTGTGCTCAGGTCATTGGACTACACTGGTTTCAGTAAGAGCCAATGGTCAGACCATGTACTCGGTTAACTGATGACAGCCCAGCATGCCTGTTCTGATTCCAGGAAAGCCACTCTATTTACCTCAGCTAACTGCGAGCAGAATTTGGCTTGTTCTCTTTGTCAGCTGCAGGCAATCCCTGCGTGAAATACAAAACTATGGGTGTTCCACTCCAAAATACGATGGCAGCAAGCTGAGTAGTCATCTGGACCCTGACAGAAGCCTGTTTTTATTCGTACGGTGACCAAGCTTGTTATAGCATGTCGAAACTAAACATTATATATATCTCTATATAAAACATTATGGCATTTAGCTTTTTAATCCCTTTCTAAAGTGTATTTCCTACATCAATCATATTGTTTCATCACTAGGGCTTCACTAGGGCTTTATCCAGGAATATCCCAATACTGGGAGTTGCAGGGGAAAGGGAATCGGTGATACGGTCTGGAGTGCACCATTTGAAGTAATGCTCTGTGAGATGGTCAGGGACTACACACCATGGATCAAAAGACATTCTTTCTATCTGAAAGACAACTTGTAAAAGACAAAAGATAGTTACAGGGTGGTAGAGTTTGATTACAGTTATGTTCTAAAAGACCTGTTGTTTTAACAGAAAATAGCACAGAGCTGTGCAAAACTGCTGGGGGAGCTTCCTTCTCCCTACAAATAGCCATGCCCCTGTGTCTCCCAATAACATGGCTTGAGCAGAAAAAGATTCTCTTTAACAACCGTGCCCAACTGCCGAGCAGCCTTATGTTACTTTGGTATAGAGGATTTAGTTTTCTATAATTACGTCAGAATATATTGAGTATGTTTAGTGAGTATCCTAGTGTAACTAAAAGGAGAGCACTTGGATTTGGATTATTAACAACCCTGTGTGACAGCATCCTAGAAACAGCTATATGCAGTAAAGTCTTGACGGAGAACGTGCCACCTTCAATTGAATTAGGGAGAAGTTCCTGCTCCTCCACAACTGCAGATTATCAAGTAGACTATTAAAAACAAAAAACAACTTTCAATTATATTGAATTTTTGTCATCCCAACAAGGAAAGTAGATGCTGATTACTTGGTTCTGCCCGAGTTAGATATTTGTCTGATTGACAAAGCCAGTGCAAGGCAGTAGGAAGTTTTAGAAATACCACCATACACCAAAATAGAAAAATTCAAGTTGAATTGGATTTAGAATTTTTTTTTTTTTTTAACACTGAAGTCTAATCCCAATACCTTTTTAGGAGGGCAGTGAGAACAAAGTAAAGTAAGTTAAATTATAGGGAAAAAAACCCCTTTCTAGTGCTGTTTGTGTAATTCTGTCTCATTTAGACACTGAAAGAAGTAGTTTCTATATGCTGCAGAAATTTAACAAAGTAAATGTAGAGACAGGGATTATTCTGGGCTGACACTGATGAGTTTATGAGCTGAATATGACTTTGAACATTTAAATCTGTTTAACATAAACACACATTTTGACAGAGGCTCTGTGGTAATTATATGATTTTTCTGATATGGTACAGATAAATGTTAGGAAAAGACTCTACCACAGTACATTCATATT